GAAGAAGAAGAAGAAGAAGAAGAAGAAGAAGAAGAAGAAGAAGAAGAAGAGGCTTTCCAGGTCTTCCCACCGGGAACACAGAGACACCAGAGAGTATCTATGTGCCTTATTAAAACACCATGGGATGCTAAAACAAAAAGGTGAGGCAGATGCATCTCATGAAGCTATTACAAAAATCAAAGAAAACTGAGGTTGTTCTTGACATGGCTGGAGGGACGGCTGGAGTATCAAGTCCTTCCTTCCTTGTGTGACTGCAGACGTGAGCTTTGAGATGTCCAGACTGGTGGGCAGGTGACACAGGGTCTTTCCCCAGCAAGCTCCTCCTCCCTGGCAACAGCCCTTTGATTGGTTTCCCTTAGGACCGCCCCCTGCCCCCGTCCTTCTCCTCCTGGACTGGACACTGAGGACCTCCAAGGTGGGGTAGGTCCACTTTCCTACTCCTCTCTGTGGCTCTAAAGTGGTCCGGGGACAAGCCGAGGACTGTGTCATTTCTAAGTGGGTTGCCTCTGGGTTCCTGGGAACTACTAAGAACAGCGGGAACTGAGGCAAGGCCTCTGAGCTGCCGGCTGAAAGCAGCCACAGGGAAGGAGACAGTACACCTTCCAGAGGCTGCATGTGCTCAGCTGAGGTGAGGTGTTTATCCTAACCACCACCAAACCAAAATCGATCTACCTGCCCCACTGAACCAAGTGTAACTAGCTATACACTGCCGTTCACCTGCTTTTTATCTCTGAGCAGTTTGGGAAACTTACAGAATTGCACCACCTCCCCGAGACCCCATCTTAAACATCGCCAGCATCCTAAAAAGAAGCCTTGGTGTAATTACGTCAGACCAAACTCCACGCCCACCCCCGCTGCCACTGGCAGCCTTGCATGCCTCTTCCCAACAGTTCACAGAAGAGTCACACACGATGGTCTCTCTCCCTCAGCATGGTGTTTTTGAGGTCCATCTATGGCAAAGCAGGTATCAGGAGCTGGCTCATTTTTACTGCTGAGAGAGCAGTGCTCCAGTGTCCACGTGTGTCTCCTTCTGTCCCTCATCAGCTGATGGACATGGGGGTCCCTGCCGCTATTTAACTACCAGGTACACATTCTGGCAACAGCATACGATCGCTCTCACCTTGGGTAGCTACCTAACAGAGGTATAGGTGGGTCACGAAAGTGATGTTTGATCTTTTGAAAGACTGCCCAACTGTCCTCCCAATGGGCACACCACTTTACGTTCCCATCAGCAATGCACGAGGGCTCTAGATCCTGCAACCCCTTCCCAGCCTGGCTGCTGCTGCCTGTCTTCCGATCACAGCCACCCCAGTGGGTGTGAGCCACCACCTCAGGAGGAGGGTGGCAGCTCCAAAGAGACTCATGGGCCCGAGTACCCTTCCAGGTGGCTTATTTGATGCTTGTGTATCTTTCGTGCTGTAAGAATTATTCACATCACTGACCAATTTTTGAATTCAGTCATTTGTCTTCTTTATACTGAGTTTTAAAAGTGCTTCATATGGATACAACTCTATCAGATATGTGCCGGGCAAATACTTTCTTCCAACCTGTGAGTTGTCTTTTAATTTTCCTAATGGCATCTTTGGAAGAACAACTGTCTTTTCACCGGGATGAGGTCCCAATTATCAAGGTTCCATCTTCTGGATCCTACCCCCAAGGTCAAGAGTCTGTCTTCTAAAAATGTGGGACTTCCGGCTCTTAAGAGTCAGATCTGTGGTCCCTTTGGAGTTAGCTTTTTCTGTCTTGCTTTATGTCCCCCATCACGCAACCCTCTCTCCCCCCTGCACTCCCTCCAGAGCCAGCTGCCCGCCCGCCCCACAGCCCACAGCTGCTGCCTCCTCCCTGCCCGTCTTGTAGCTTCCGATGGTTGGGCTGGAAGGCTGCCTGTCATTCTCTCCCATTTGACAAGCACAGGGTCACATTCCCTGTCACAGCCTTGCCACCTAGAACACTGCCAGACAAGTGAAAAGGGTCCACCCAACAGCTGGGAAAGGCCTAAGACACATTTTACTATTATTATTATTTCCTATTGGCTATTATTACTATTATTATTCATAGGAGCCACAAACAAGTGGTTGTACAATCCTGAGAGGGGTGAGACGACGTACATTATTAAATCACTGAAAGTTACATTTCTTGAGCCTGCGCTCTGGCCCAGCCCGATAAGTGTCACTCCCGGCCCTGGGCAAAGAAGTTTCTTTTGCAGCAGATGAGATCATTACGGAAAGCCATGACAAGTAAAACTGCAGAGAACAACTCACTGTGGGTGGCCAGCCCCACTGGTTCCATCTATAGCACAACCCCTACACCAAGGGCTCAAAAAGATCTCAGAAGAAGGCGTGGAAAAAATTTGCAAGAGCTACAGGACCAAGATGTCTGCTGTGAGACTGTATCTACCAGGTAGGACAGGGGAGCTGACGCTCCTGAAACCTCAACAATGACACCAGTTGACCTACCAAAGTGGGGTAGGGGACATCTCACTGGGCCCCACCACTAGATAAGGATAAGATAAACAATTGAAAGACTGCCGAGAGGGAGTATTAGTCTTCCCCAGGGATGAGCCCCCAACTGGTTATCCAATACTAAGTGACCAACGCTAAAAACAGATACTTATAAACGACTCTAAATGGGCTCAGCAGATTGTATTTATATATTTATTCATATATATGAATATCAATTATATATATATGTATATATATATATATATATATATATATATATATATATCAATTAAAGAAAAAGAAGCCATGAATTTGGAGTGGGGGAATGAGACACAGAGGAGGGATTGGAGGGAGGGGAAGGGAAGAAATGATACACTATTTTCACTTAAAATTTTAAATTACATTGTTTAAAGAATGCGTAATGAATAAAGAAAGCTTTTGTTACATACGTGGTTACAAAACAGAAAATACCACTATATATAATACAGTGTGTTCTAACTATCCATGGATGGGGAGCTCTTTGTACTATAAACAGGAGCCACCTCATAAAATCCAAGAATGTATTTTTTAAAAAAGAGGCTGGGCTAAGAACTGCAAGGCAAGACCACAAAGCCCTGACCAGCTACTCTAGCCTCCTAGGCTTACTCTTTTTTATGCTTCCCTAGAATGCTAAAAACAAATAAAAGAAAAAAGCTTAATTTTTTTTTTAGAAGACCATTTTTTACAATCATAAGAATCCCCCCCCACCACCACTGTGTGGGTATGTGTGAGTGTGCATGTGCGTGCTTGTGTGTGTGTGTGTGTGTGTGTGTGTGTGTGTGTGTGTGTGTGTGTGTGTGCATGTGCATGCGTACGTGTGTGTAGGTATATGGAGGCCACAGGTCAATATCAGATGTCTTCCTCCATCTCTGTCCACTTTATTTATTTTGTTGGCTTTTGGCTTTTAAAGACAGGGCTCTTGGTGAATGTGCAGCTTGTCCTTTCAGCGAGGCTGGCGAGCCAGTGAACACCCAGGATCCTCCTAGCTCTGTCTGGTGCCACCAGGCCTGGCTTTTTACAATGGTGCTGGGAGTCCAAACGCAGGCCCTCACGTTAATGCGGGAAGCACTTTGCCCACGGAGCCACCTCTCCAGGCACCAGGAGTTTTTCTTAAAGCCCTGTTTGTGGGCGACTCTAATTCTAATCGCTAGTTGTCCCTGAGCTCTGATGAGAAAGCGGTCAACTGCATTCTGACATATTTTCAGAGAACATATTAACTCTCTGGTCCCTTCAAGATCCTTCCACCATGTTTTCTGCCTTATCCAAGTCAGATGGACCCGAACCCTTTGCCCTATCTTTAAGAAATGTAAGAGCAGAAAGCGTTCTAAGATCCACTCCCTCCAGTCAAAGCCCCCTGCGCCCTCGGCCCCACTACCTGGGCAGCGATGTGCTGATCTGCAGTCTTGGCAAGGCAGGAATGACTTCCACGGTGGAGCCACTGGTTTTCACTCCTGGGAGGTTGTCTAGCAGACAGTCACTGAAGACCCCAAAGACTGTGGTGTGGTAACCTGCAACACAGGGAGGGGCGGTTTCGCAGCTCCTGGCAAGGTTTGGCCACGTAGGCCCCTGATAAGGTCACAAAGGCCACGAGAGCACCAGACCCCGCCAATCACCTATGCTCCCCCCCCCCCGTACCACTCCCTGTACCCCAAAGGCGTTGGCTGTTCCTGGACAGAATGAAGCTGACAACACCATCTGTGCCCTATTTCCCACAGCGGGCAGGTCCAGAGACAAAGGGCCCTCCGTAAAGAGCCCTCCCTGTACTCTCCCGGTCTTCGGTTTAGCAGTCACCAGCTCAGCCGTTTGCTAATACATCTTTCAGATTTAGCATCTCTATCATGATAGAGAGAGTTAATATTCCTTTCTGAGGCATCAAGTGACTTAATGAGCATTTGAAAAATACTTTAGAACCCTTCTGTTGAGAGGTGAAGGTTCACAAGCCAACTACTGTCGTTACAGCTGCTTGGTGACGCGGCCACTCGAGCAGTGCGCATGTGCGGGGACCACGGCTGAAGATCAGCACGTGCGTGGCCCGTGCAGAAAGAAAAGGCTGGTGAGCAAGATAAGCACTCGAAATTGCTTAATCAAAGCTTTAAAATGGCTTTTGAAATTTCAAAAGATGACGATTCTGTAAATAGTATTTGCTGTGTGACAAATTTAAACGATGGCCAGCGGCTAGAAGCCTAGATTGGCGACGTTCCTGTGCTACGTCGTGGCAGAGGGACAATGGAGTTATTCCCTGGGGAGGAGCCATTCTCCTTCCCCGTCAGCACCACGCACAGTGTTGCAGGAGCAGCTCTAGGCATCTCTTCCCGGCCACTGCAGCCACATCCATGCCCTGGCACAGCCACACCCCTCGACACAGCAACCACACACACCCTGTCACAGCAGCAGCCCCCATATACCCTCCCTGAGCTTCTCCAAGTCTCCTTTCTGTGGGGTTTATTTCCTTCCCAGGAGACCCCTCTGACACTAAGACCCTTATGCTTTCCTGTGTGTAAAACCTGATGGGATTCTGTCTATGAAGCACTGGTTACTTTATCATTCTTAGTTATGATCAGATTGTAACTTAGTTACAATCATTTTCCTTTGCTTAAGACATCACCGGTGCTTAAAACCATGGCCACGTAACCCCTAGTCTGGTGACCATGTTTAGTGCCAGTCGGGATGATATAGGTTAACCCAGGCAGCTAAGGCTCACCGAAAGTAAGTGCTGATGCCAAAGCCAGCCAAGGTCTGCTCCCAGGCTCTCACACTCACCGAGACACACTAGCTCCTGTCTTGTCCCTGGACCAGCCACTAGGGCCTAACTCTCCCCTTCATAGCCACAGCTCCGCCTGCGTCCTTTCTGCCTGGGCTCTCTGAGGACAGACACCAGGTCTTTTAAGCTCTACCCTGTGGTCTGGTGACTCCAAAGCCTGGCTGACCAGTTTCCTCTGTACAAACACGGCAGCTACCCTGATAGCCCCAGAAGATAGCGGATGAGCTTCAGGATGTTCGAGGCCCCTATGATGCCCATCTCCTTCCAGCCCCATCACTACCTGCCCCCACCCTGACTCTCTCCCTCTGACTACCTCTACTCTCCAGATATGCCAGATCTCAAACAGATACCCTTGGAGAAGCTATACTCTCTGCCTAGAGTCCCTGCCTATACATTGGTTCTGTTCTGCTTCCAATTGCCCGCTCCTGGTAGACCTTCAAAGATCAGGGTCACCTGCCAGGGCAGGCCTTTGTTGTCCACCTCCCTACTGGGTCCTAGCTTCTCCTAGTTCTCACACACATGCATCTCTATCCATCTCGCTGAGATACATCTAACTGTCCAGCAAGCAACATCTTCCCCAGACAACACATACATACTGATGCTGCTGAGCTATGGTCAAAACTGCCAAGGCTAAGAGAGAAGCCACCCCTGGTGCCATGGAAAATAAGGTGTGCAGAGCCTCCTGGGGACACCGTGAGGGACCAAATCAGGATGGCAGGCTAAGGAAGAATGCCAGCCCTGAGAAACGGGTAGAGGCTCAGAAGCCCTCAAGGAGAAACCCATGTAAGGTCAGGTGACAGGTGTACTGTGGGTACCGTCAGGAACCTCGCGACATTCAGGTGTAACTTCTAAGAGAGGAGGCCAAGGATACTAGGTTGGGATGGCCCAGGGCTCAGGAATGTGCCTTGAAACAGGACAGGACAAAGGGTAAGGCCTCTGACCAACTGATGGGGGCTGATAAGGGCTTCGGTATGAAAGCTGGGCCCATCAGCAAGGAGGCTGAAAGACAGAAAAGACTGCTCCTCATGCTCTATGATAAACCCTACGAGACAGTTATGATCTGACAGACAGAAAACAGCCAAGCAGGTGGCAGAAGTAGCATCTCATAAAGTATTAACAGAGAGGTCTGGTAGCTGCTTAGAGCAAGATGTGTCATTGGGACGGGAGCCTATAAGAAAAAAGCCACTTTAGGGAGGACAGGTGGGGGGCCTGGGGCAACATGGTGTATATGAAAAGCTCACAGGACATCTGAGGAGATGGCAAGAAAGGGGGGTCTGTCCCTAAGGGGGAGCAGAAGCATGCATGCAGGACCGAAGGCCGGAGACAGCCCCGAGGCTTTGTTGGGTTAAGAAGCAAGAAGAGGAAAGAGGGGAAAAAAGAAAGGAGGAGGTGAAGACTCCAGGGAAGGGTCCAGGGAAACGGTCTGACAAGTCAAGGTGATTGCCATGCAGGCCTGGTGGCCTAAGTTCCATCCAGAGCACACATAAAGGCATGAGGAGAGAACCACAGCATACACATGCACACATCATGCAAAGACACATAATATTTTTTAAAAGAAACTGAGAAGAAGGGAGAGCCAGGGAAAGGAGAGGGCAGGGAAAAGGGGGTAAGATAATGGAGGAAGGAAGCCAGGAAACAGAGAAACCCCGCAGGGCAAGGCTTCAGGAACACAGCCTGCAGAAACCAAGAGACTGAACGAGACCAAGAGGAGGCACCATACCAAGGCTGACCTCTGTATAAGGGAGTCAGTTAGTAAAAGACTCAGCAGCAGGCCCAGCTTCCGCCAGAACAGCACCGCTCCGGCCCCTGGCGACAGGCGTTGTGGTAAGCGTTAAGAGCTGGATGGAAACACTACAGAGGTGGACGTGGAGTCTACACGGACACACAATGCTCTGAAAGGGGGTACAGCGCCACTGGAGGGGGTTTGATGGCAGTGAGAGAATCTGAGTCTGTGCTGTCCCAGAGGAGAATGACATGAAGGCGGAAAGCGAGAGGGAAGCACCGGACGGGCCCTGCCCCCACAGGAGCACACAGGTACCCAGCCAGCCCCAGCACACCACACATCGAAACCAGGATTTTTTTTCCACCATGTCACTTTGGAAATAAACGCTATATTCTCCTCATTGTTAAGGTGGTTAGGATCACGGGTCAGGCAACCAGCTCCAGGTGCCGTGATGCAGAAACCACCAAGGAACTGTCCTTACCATTCACAGTGATCGTCCCTGTAGTCTGTGGGACCCCAACCAGCGTCACTGGGTACAAACCGGATTCGGCAGGAAGGGAGAGTGCCGCAGGAAGAGACTCGAACTCCACTCCGCTGGTGAGGAGCCCCTGCGGGAAGTGAAGGAGCCCTGTGAGGAGGCCTGGCTCAGACCCATGCTGCACAGCTACTTCCTAATGAGCTCCGTGGCATTCACTGCAGGAACTATGGGGATGAAAAGGCCAGCAGCTTTTGAAAACCCACAGAGCACTTCAAGGGAGGCTGGTGTGAGCTGGACCCCGAGAGTAGGGTGGCCAGCAAAAACTTCAGAGTAGAGTGGCCAGCAAAAACTCCAGCTGGGGTGAAGCCCTGTGTATCATTGTATGATTCCTTGCTTTGCTGTTTTGCCAAATGAGAATGTGGACCCAAAGAAAAAATAAATAGTTCTCTAAACACGAAAGAAAAACATACAGTGTGGAAATATCACAGAGGGTGATTTCACTCCAGGGCATCTCAGTGTAGGGATGTTTGTTCATCTCATTGTAGAGCAGGAACTGAGCTTGCCAGTGAACTACGTGAGTCCCCAGCCTCAAGAAGCTGCCCCTTGATGGGCCATAGTGCAGAGACATCAGTTCTCAGGGGGTTCTAGTCATCTATTCACAAAAGCAAAGTCATGATCAAGGCCACCCCTTGGGATCCTCACTGAATCCTGAATGAGCAAGTATGGTCAGCAAAGAGGTAAAGGCTGAAGAAAGCTGTAACAGCCCAGGCATTATTACAATCTAGCCAAAAACAAACAAACAAACAAACAAAAACCAAAAAAAGAACCTGAAAAGCAAAAAGGAGAAATACCATTAACAAAGATCATAAACATCTTGGCGTAAATTCACCACACACGTGTGCAAGACTTCACGGCAGCTACGGAACACAACCAGAGCAAAGAGGACCTCCACGGGGGAAGAATTCCATGATTCTCCCCGATGCGATGGTTTTCCTCAGAGCAATGGTCAAAGCAGTAGGAACTTCTCTTAGACGCGCTGATCAGGAGGGAGTGTGCTGACCCGTGAGCCCACTGTCCCTTCACAGTGGAGGAGGGAAGAGCGGCGGTATCCAAGAGGAAGGCAGGGAGGGACCCTGGAGGACGTGTGTGCACCCTTGCACGCCCTTTCCCAGCTCTGTCTACAGAGAACACCAGAGGCAAAGGCACTCTGCTGGCAGCGGCTGCTCCTGTGATGTATATGTGGTGTGGATAGATGTCATGGAGAAGAATAGAAGAAGAAAAGCCAGTCACGTGGCTGTCGTCCCTAAGCAAAAAACATTGACACTTACCTCTGTTGAAGCTAACTAAAGCCAAATGGCAGTTGCTAACTAGGTGGTGGGTATATGTGAGTTTATGCCTAAATGTTTCATAATTAAGTTTTTTTAAGTTTCTGACCACAAGTTGTGGGCTATCTATCTCCAAATGGAACTTTATAGTTAATTATAATCTTTTAGCCTTCCTAACATTTTTATAATAAGCACGTATTATTTTTAAATCAGATAAAAGTGAAAGCTACTTTTAAAGATTTGTTTTTTTTAAATAAACATGGGTATGGTACACATGCCTTTGATCCCAGCACTCAGGAGGCAGAGGTAGGTGGAGTGCTGTGAGTTCAAGGCCAGCCTGTTACACAGTGAGACTTTGTCTCAAAAGCCAAAAGAAAGACAAAAATGTATGGAGCAGCAGCTGCCCTCGGACATTGGCAATGGATTCTCAAGGAGGGCAGGGCAGATAGCTCAGCAGTTAACGAGTTCACCAAGCAAGAAAGAGGACCAGAGTTCGGATCCCCAGAACCCACATGGGTGTGAAGGCTGACCTTTAAGTCTCACACGGAGGACAAGTGGAGCAAGCTGGCTAGTGAGACTTGTCACGTTGGCAAGCTCTAAGATTTTGGGGGAGAACCTGGCTCGAAAAATTAAGATGGGCGAACAATCAGGGGAGATTCCCAACATCAACTCAAGCCTCCACACACATGCACACATGTACACACACACACCTGCACACACACGTACCTGAAAACATGCATATTGGCAGGAACACACACGAGGGGGAAAAGCCCTCAGGGAATGAATCCATGGAGTGGTGTGCACAGGGGCCTTGCTTGAGTCCCACGTGAAGATGCTATATAAGTCCCCTTCCCCTGACCACAGAAGTGGGTGAGCTGTTCTGAGGGGCGCGACCACAAAGGGAGTGACATCTTCTGCAGGTCTCTGAATCCGAACAGCAGGGTCACAGCCATGCAGTGTAAACATTTCTTTCTTACCCCATGGCCTGTACTAAACCTTGAACCCTGACCTCCAGACGACTATTTCAAATCTATATTTAATCAATTAAGGTCAGTGTGTGCATATATTAAAGGCTTGCTTGTACGATCACATGCTACTGAGCGCCAAGCCAAGACACAGGAATGACGAAGCATGGCCTCCACACACACAGGAAGCTCAGAGACCTTAGTAAACAGATGTAAAATCAGACATACATCAGAGGATGTCTATGTCCAACATTAAGCAAAAAGGTGTTTTCAATGACAGTAGGTTTTCGGCCAAATGACTGGTGGTACATACCATGTTTTCCACGCGGAGCTCAAACGGCATTGGGTTGTACACCATCAGCTGAACTTCACACACATCTCCTTGAACCCACTGGAAATCTACAAAACACACACAGAAGATCTCCAGGGTGAGTCGGTACCACTGCTATGTTAGTTGGTTCATGTGTCCAGCAGAGCCACGGGCCATACACTTGCCCTGGCACGAGGAGTTCATGTGATGGACTGCTGTGATGGCTATTGGTGGTACCCTAAGCAGGTATAGGGGCCCCTTGCAAGAGCATGACTTCTCTGTGTCCCCTAAAACCTGGTCAGACATACTCCTGATTTATTCCAACAACCTGCTATACATGACTTCCCCAAAGGTGCTCTCTAAATGACAGTACTTACCTGCCACACCTAACAGCATGTACACAATCAGCCCGGGGAGAGGCGGATGGTGTCTAAGTGGTCATAACTCAGGCCTGCATCCCATACCACCACATACACACAACTGCCCCCAAAGGTCTCTGAATGACTATCACTGAGATACAGTCTCTTACTTGATCCAGAACAACCCTGAGTCAATTTCTAAAGGTCCCACTCCACAGAGGGCATGACCGGAGCCCAGGGTGGCGCTATCAGGACCTGAGGTCACACAGTAGGAAGTTAGAGCTGCAGGACCAGGCTACAGTCGCAGCCAAGGTGGCCCCTGACAGCCCTGGCTCATCCAGGCCATTACTCTGTCTCTGGGGCAGCTGCTGACCTTAGCACGAGGGCCTCACAAGGCCATGAAGTCCTGTTGCAAATGACATGGAGACCCAGGAAGGTGTGGTGGCTCTCATCTGAAATACCAGCACTCGAGGGTGCTGGAACAGGAGCATCCAGAGTGGAAGCCAGAAGACCCTGTCTCAAAGCAAACAAACCAGGAGACGCTGCACCCTACCCTGCCCAGCCCAGCAGCGGCCATCCTGCCTCTTCGCTTGGCTCTTCCAGCAGCTTGGGCTGCGCTTTGTGGGCATCACCTGGAACACTGGTAAGCTTTTTTTTTCCCCTGAAGAACCCGCTAGGAAAAGTATCACCCCATTTGTTTCGATAAAAATGTCAGAGGGGAGTTAAGGAAGCCGGGGTGGATTTCTCCTCTCTCGGGGTGGGAGTGCTGGGTCAGATGAAAATGTGGGACCATTTACCGGGGGAGGAGTAAGAAGCTGGCGACAGCCACAGAGCATTAAGCAAGCATGTTGACTCTTTTTTTTTGTTGTTTTGTTTTTTTTTGTTTTGTTTTGTTTTTTGTTTTTTGGTTTTTGTTTTTTGGTTTTTTGGTTTTTTGTTTTTTTCGAGACAGGGTTTCTCTGTGTAGCTTTGCGCCTTTCCTGGAGCTCACTTGGTAGCCCAGGCTGGCCTCGAACTCACAGAGATCCGCCTGGCTCTGCCTCCCAAGTGCTGGGATTAAAGGCGTGCGCCACCACGCCCGGCTCGCATGTTGACTCTTAGCGCAGGGCACAGCACTACTGGCAGTCCAGGTCGCGCATCCTAGCAGCCAGTCCAGCTGCACAGCCCCTGCTTCACGGATAAGGAGGTGATGAAGCTACTTTTCGTGAAAATAGTCTGCCTTTGCCGAAGACACCAAGGCAAACAGTGTCTAGCCGGCAGGCTTGTCCAGATCAGATGTGGCCCAACCCGACATCGTAAACTGACTTAAAATATGAGGAAATTGGCTTTTTTTTTGTTTGGTTTGGTTTTGAGTGGGGAACTCAACCGGGAGGTTCTCAAGTGGGAACTTTGGAGATGATGATGTTGTGTGAGACTGTGTCAGGAGACGAGACAGGCTGACCAACTCCAGGAACCCGCACAGCTGCAGGGAGCTGGGACCGCGGGTGCCAGCTTCTCTGCTTACGGGCACGGGGGAGTGAACCCTTCTTCATGAATGCCAGGGAGACGCTCTGACTGACGAACAAGCCTCATTTCAGCTCCAAATGCATATTTTGGGGTGGGAAAATGTAATTTCTTTTCTATGGCTTCTAATGTCTTTCCGGAACTATCCTGATTAGTGATTCCCTGCTGAAGACTGTGATGTGTCTTTGGCTTAAATTTCAAATGTTTCTAACTGAATCTCCGCGCGTGTAACAGGAGAGTTTCCATACTATCAGGAACTATCAGCGGTAAGAGAGACGCCCTTGGGGTTAGGGGAGGTGTCCTGAGAACATTTTCCCACTCCCTGTCATTCTTTTTGTCTGTCTGTGGGTCACTCACTGGGCTGAGAGAAACCATGGTCCAGGTATCAAGTTGGAGCATGATAGGATGAAGGGGCTCCTAGGCTTTTTTGTTTGTTTGTTTGTTTTTTGTTTTTTGTGTTTTTTTTTGAGACAGGGTCTTGTTTTTAAGTAGTCTAGGTACCTGGGATGATGGCAATGTCGATGAGCCAGTGCAGGAGGACCCCATCCTCTGGATCCACTAAGAGGAAGGGAGGCACTGCCGTCAGAGCTCGTACCAGGGTCCCACACAATGCAAAGGAACAATTGTCTTTCTCTCCTCCTGCCCTTAATGCATGCTGAGTGGGAAATGTCATCTGCCCTTCCTAGTTGTTATTGAGTGTACCTGATTAGACATTTCTCTCACTGCCATATGCTCTCCAGAACAGAGGTACAGCGGTAAAGGACCTATGTCTGGGGATGACCTCTTTTTGTTTGTTTGGTTGTTTGTTTGGTTTGGTTTGATTTGATTTTGGGGGGACTGGGTTTTCTGTGTAGCCCAGGCTGTCCTAAATCTTGCTCTATAGACCAGTCTGGCCTTGAACTCAGAGATCTATCTGCCTCTGTCTCCCAAGTGCTAGGACTAAAGGCATGAGCCACCATGCCTGGTGGGCTGGAGGCTGACTTTCAAAACCAAAGACCAAGATGGAATTTCAAAGACTCAAACACATTCTGGAGAATTTGCCAGCACCCAGAATTAGTTGCCTTTTCTCGAGAGATTACCCGGTATCTCCTGCTTTACTTCCTTTTTAATTGCTCTCATTCTCTCTTTGAGACAAGCTCTCATGCAGCCCAGGCTATCCTTAAACTCACTATGTAGCCAAGGATGGCTTCAAACTTCTGATCCTCCTGCCATGAGCTGGGGTTACTGATGTGCATGACCATGCCCAGTACATTCAATGCTGGGAATCCATCCCAGGCTTCATGCATGCTAGGCAGGCACTGTGCCGGTGAGCTACACGCCAGCTCCTCCTCCTCTCTCATTTTCACAGGGCACAATTTTAGAACATGCAAAGCCAAACCAGGGCAGGCCACCCTGCTCTCTCAAGGCAAAGTCACTCTAGGCCTGCCCAGGCTTTCCCAAAGCCCATGGGCTCTGTGCTAGGATTAGTGAGTAACATCAGGGACAGTGTTAATAGCCCCAAAACTTCAAAGAACTTACTTGCATTTTACCCTGATCTTCACTTTTATGTGTTTGTGTTCAACCTGCATGAACTGGACAGGGAAAATGTGCTTGTAGTAGGAACCTATTCTCATATAGACAGTCCTAAATGTATATCCCAGTGAATGCACTGGAAGTTGAAAATATCCTGTGGTGGTATTGTGTTCCCCAAAAATTGTGCACCCTAATAAACTTATCTGGGGTCAGAGACAGAACAGCCACACTATTACACATAGAGGATAGGCAGTGGTAGCACACGCCTTTAATCCTAGCATTCCAGAGGCAGAAATCCATGTGTTCAAGGATACAGCCAGGCATGGTGACTTATCACACCTTTAATCCTAGAAAGCGAGCCTTTAATCCCAGGGAGTGATGGTAGAAAGCAGAAAGGTATACAAGGCATGAGGACCAGAAACTTGAAGCATTTGGCTGGTTAAGCATTTGGCTAGTTAAGCTTTCAGGCTTCTAGCAGCAGTTCAGCTGAGATTCATTCTGGATGAGGACTCAGAGGCTTCCAGTCTGAGGAAACAGGACCAACTGAGGATCCGGCGAGGTGAGGGAGCTGTGGCTTGTTCTGTCTCTCTGATCTTCCAGTATTCACCCCAATAACTGACCTCAGGTTTGATTTTATTAATAAGACCTTTTAAGATTCCTGCTACAATATCCCAAATCAAAAAAAGCATTTAACTAGCCAGGTGTGCCAAGGCATGTCTGTAATACTGGAGTCCAAGGCCAGCCTAGGCTACATAATGAGTTTGAGGTAAGCCTAGGCTACATGGTGAGACACTAACTTGAGAAAATATAAATGCATTTCCCACACTCCACCCATCAAACATCACAGCCTCACTGAGCTTCCCTACGGAGTTCATGATGGGTTACCGCCTATGCTTAAGCAAATCCATCCAGAACAAAGTGTTTAATGTACTAATGTAGTGGTTTAGACACCGAGTTTCCAGGTCCCACTTCAGTCACCACTGGAATGACTATGACCTTGGGAGGAAGGGCCTTTCTAAGGAGTGACAAGGTACAGTGTGGAGCTCTGTGCCTGGACCATAGTACCTCTGTAAGAAGGATGGTAATCAGCAGACACCACACATGCTCCCTATCTCTGCCAAGGGATAAGCCAGGTCTTTATGGCTTCTAGACCATCCATGAATCATCTTTCAGGAAATAAGTTTCTAACAATCAGATCAATGAGCAACTTCCAGCCTAAGGCAACACATGAGATGAATTTCCAGGAGAGTGTGTGCGCAAGCACATACAAGTGTATGCACACACAGAACTGGCCAGAAACTCAGTCCTGAACCCCAGGACGTTAAGCAGGGCACGGACAGCGGCCTACCTATTTTCTTGCTGCGCTCCTCTCCACGGCTGTGAGGGATGATTGGTGAATAGATGAAGGGGCTCTTGGTGGACATGGTCTGCCCCAGCAGGCTTTTCACCTTCTGCGGCCGGAGGCTGGTAGGGAGACTCAGCAGCTTCACACACCTATCATTGTAAGCAGAGTGCAGACACTTACCGTCAGGTCGCTCACTCCGGACCACATACAAACAAGCGCTGACCTGTTGCTGCCCTGTGTTGTGGAGGTCCTGCAGCTTTGGGTCTGTGCGTCACGTCCCTTCACATACTCTAGCAGATCATAGATAGAATGGATATTGGGGGGGCTGGGGGAGGGGCAAGTCATAATCTTGGTTCTGGGCCTGGGCAGCTAGCTATAGGGTTTGTCTGCCAGCCAGTTCTCCCAACCAGACCAATGACTCTTGGCAATGAACATATGCAAGTAAAGATATATGAACAGAGGGGTTTACAGCATACCTGACTGCCTCACACTGCAGCTTACAGGATGAGATTTTAATTTGTTTTTCCTTTTGTCTCTTAAAATTTGTTTTGGGGGTGGTGGTGCAGGGGCAGAGGGCCGATGCGAAGGGACAGGGAAATGAATGGGATCAAGATACATGATATGAAAGATGTACAGAATAAATAAAGTAAAAAGTTAAGTAAAAAAAAAAAAACAGAAGGTGAAGAGAAGAGTTCCCACTCCACAGGACCAAGCGGCAGAATAAACATGGCAACCCAGCAGGCCAGGAAAGCAAGGTTCCTCCTGGGCTGGGGAAGAGTCCAGCCTCTGTCACCTTCTCCAACACAAAGGTTTCCTCTATAGAATGAAAACCCAGTCAGGCCTTGCTCGTGGGACTGAGGTGAGGATGGTGTGCCAACTCCCTGCTCAGGGCCCACTGTTCTGATGCCTGCTGTTTCCTCCCAACAGGTCTGCCCACAGTAAGCAGAAGCCAGAGCCTTTCCATTGGATCAGAAGCCACCACGGAGAAGGTGGTGAAAGGTTTTTGCTTAATGTTCTGGTAGAAGCTCCACCTCAGCCCCTGGCACCCTGGCATCCATATACCTAAAGAGTCTGGAATGTTCTGGTGGAAGAGCCTCCTCAATTCCCCTCCCCCATCTCTTTCCCCAAACCCGCCCCCTCAAAGCCTGCCAAACATGGCTCCTCCCCCAAAGATGCTCAAGACCACTCCCATAGGGTATTTAAACTACATCCCAGAAAAACGGACACGTGGTTTTCCTGTCTCTCATCCCTGTCTCCTCTCTGGGGGGCCAGAGAATCACCCGGGAATGCTTTACCCATTAAACCAGGGCTTTTTTCTAATCTGGTCTGATTTGGTTTGATTTGGATGTCTGCGTCGGCAGAGAGGCTTATGGGGGTGCAAAACCTTTCAGAAGGTACCGACACGCACCACGCTGTTCTCGGACATGGCTGCTTCACCATCCATTGACCCCATGCTCACGGTCATTGAGTTAAAGGCAGTAAAGATAACTTTAGAGGCACCAAAATGAGTCAGTGTCACATTAAGGAAAGAAAATTCAGCGGTTCCCCTTAGATTAATTTGACCAAAAATGAGTCCAAGTTTGAATTCTCCACTTGTCCCTGTGTTTTCTGTCATCTGTAGGCTTGTCCAAAGTCTGCCTGACATGTGAGTCTGATCTGCCCCTATTGCCTGTGTCCCTAAAACAGAGGTCTTTGCTCTGTACTGGCCAGCACAGAAAGTGTCACATGGGGAAGGAATGAGGGATATTTTACAGACATAATTAACCGAGTTTTATAACAGGAGAGATTATTGACTCCAGTCACAGAGAGCACTGCAGACATGCTATGGAATAATATCCATGCAGTTTTCAATATGCACGTAAGGTAGTTGTTGAACAAGGTTGTTATTGACCTGTTGGCTGTTTTCAACAGAATAGTCAGCCACAACATACACATATAGTGCTCTGAGTCAGGAGCATGGAACAGTACGTAACTGAAGATTAACATTAGGCAGTCGTCTTTGTTGTAAAGTTTGATTACATGGGAAATGCAAAGCAAGTAATGTTGGCTGTTACACTGTTCTCTTAAAGGCAGGTTAAACAAACAGGCTGAGTACACAGCAGGCGAGCAGTCTTAAGTGATCTCAAGGAGTATTATTAACTCAGCTGTGGGGTTAGGCAAACGCTCCAGTCTCTTTGAATGAAAGGGGTATTTTCATAAAGATGTACTACCCGTCATGCTCAAGGTCATCCAAGTCAACTACAAACGGGTACCTGTGGGAAGCTGAGTACATGCAGCCCCTGCGCTACCCACCCCACCCCCCAGCACCATCTCAAACACCTCAAACGCGCTCCACTCGAGTGCTGCCATTATCTCTGCATTATCACCCGGGACCTGACAAAAGAGAGATGAAGCGCAGCCCACAGTCCCATTAATGGAAAGTGACGATGACCAGAAACACCAGCTCTAAACCACAGCGCGGCGAGGCCTCTGGGACCGGACTGGCCCGGTGGCTGAGATCAGGAACGTGCTAGGCCAGAACAGAACAGACAAGGATGAGGATGAGAGAGGCCCAGGTGTTTCCACCCCAGCTCCTAGCTTCTGCGAGCAGGAAGGTGAGGTCACACATGCAGCACCGCCCAAGGGCTGAGAAGACGCTGCACGGCCCTGTGTGGAAACAATACATCAGCTAATACATCAGCTTCCTGGTACCCTACGTGGCAGTCCTGCAAAGCCAGATGCTGAGGAGGCCAAGAACAGGACAGCACGGCCTGGGTCACAAGCACCCACAGCATGCCACCGTGGGGCCAGGATGCCACCCACTAACACCAGGCTGAGTGAGTGGGACGCACTGTGCTGTGTGCAGTAAGTCACTGCGAGGTCTCAGACACAGCCCAACCCACACTGACTGATAAGAACTGCCTTACCGAGCTGATGTCACTTAGTAAGGGATGGACTCCTAGAGCAGTGATTCTCAACTTTCTTAATGCTGTGACCCTTTAATACAGTTCTTCATAGCAACCATAAAATTATTTCGTCACTACTTCATAACTGTAATGAATCATAATGTAAATATCTGATGTGCAGGATATCTCATATTCTACCTCCAAGGGTGTCTCGACCCACAGGTTGAGAACCACTGTCCTAGAGGAATCCAGCCTCCCTCATGCCAAGAGCCCCTACAGCACTTAGCACCTAGGCCCTGACAGGGTTCAGGTCACATGCACCGGACACATCCGCCACCCATAATAGCCCATGTAAAGAGAGTACTTAGAAAATGAGGTTTACTCTCTCAGATTCCTTCTCTGCAGACACTCCTCCATCAGACTGTCAATCTGGGACCAGAATGGCCTCACAGCTTTGTTTTGATTCGAGCTGTGAGCTGGCTGAGTACCAAAGCCTTGTCCAGCACTTGAACCTGTTGCTCTCAGTAAATGCTGTAAATACGCTCCCAAAAGCTGAACTTCAAACCCGGCGTCCGAATCTTTTGAAGCTGAGCACTGTGGTGAAAATTCATTGCTGACAGCAGGAACCCCATGCGTGACATGCTCCCCCACCACCACGAGGACCCTGCCTGACGCTAGTGCCCCTCTCAGACTGAGATTCGCCCTCGAGTTGACAGGGAGACCCTCATTACAATCTGAAGGACCTACCAGTAGGACAACACACACGCCTGAACCTCACTCAGCTTTTGCTTATAAAATCAGCAAAGGAGCGGTACTCTGGTAATATGTGTAGCTAGAAGGATGTTTCCTTTCTTTGGTCCCCAGTTTTCGTAGGGAGGGATACCCCTTGGAAGACAGACCCAACTTGACCTCGCTCTCCTTCACTAGCCACCCAGGGGGGTGAGATTTGAGAGATAAGGAGCCTATATATACTTCTTGATCTAGTTCCTGGGGTGGCCTCATGCTACAGACAGTGCATATTCTGTATCACCCTGTGTGTGCTAATCCAGGCCCTCCCACGAAAGAGGCTTATAGCTAGGGGCAGTTCACACACCTACCTGCCTCGCCTGAGCCACACTTACCACTTCATTTTTCATCTGCCTGGCACAAGTGTTCCTGTGCATTCTGACGGAGGGCAGAAAAAGGGGAGTGGCCTTGCAGGGCATTGTGGGACGGCTTGAGGTAACATGTTAGTACCTGTCCTGGCACCTGGCGCACACAATTGGTCAGTAAAGCCTTCTCTGCTTTCCCCATCTTAAAACAATGACTATTTGCCAACAGACAATGGCTACTGGTGCAAAATGGCAGTGCTGGACTGAGTGAGAGACGCCAAGTCTTGAGGCTGGCTATAACCACACTGCTGGATGCTGGACTGGGTAGAACCACCAAGCCTTGAACTACCTTGTACTTGAGGGCAGGGCAACTCAGGGCTCTCAGAACAAGCAACATTTTCTGTATCATGCAATAGCCCTACTGAAGATGGAGTAGGAATTCTAAGGAGGCCTCCATTCTAACAAACAGCTGGTTGGTTTTTGTTTTGGTTTTGTTTTGTTTTTTGTTTTTCGAGACAGGGTTTCTCTGTGTAGTTTTGGTGTCTGTCTTGGATCTCACTCTGTAGACCAGGCTGGCCTCAAACTCACCAAGATCCGCCTGCCTCTGCCTTCCAAGTGCTGGGATTAAAGGCGTGCGCCACCACCGTCCGGCTAAACAGCTGGTTTACTGCCTATGTTCAAGAATTCTGAGGACATGGCCAGCCAGAAGAATGACCCGTAACTTATTATGGTGTATACTCATGACTCAACCTTTTTCCATCAAAAGTCATTTTATAAAATGTATCCTCTACCAAAAGCATCATTCGAGGCACCTGACTTACAGTCCACATCTACATTCAGCCTGGCTCTCTCCTGAACAAAGGATGCTGGCTCCGGCAGGTGAAGCTGCTTCAACTAAAGAGGGATAGAGTGTCCAGGACGGGACTGTCTCAATATATTCCATTTGGACATAGTTTACATGTCAGAATCCCGAGTCTCCCTGGCGTCCTGTGGCTAAAAGGGATCAAGCTGGGCAACAGTGGAACGCTAACTTGGGTAGTGGTTGCGAACGTGCCACTTGAGAAGGATGGCACGGGAACTAATGGAGCCCTTTCTTCCTTGTGTTTTCATTCTCCACCCACCCTTGGTCCAGGGGAAACACGGGTCAGCTTCTGGCCCACGGTCCAGTTCAAAGCGCAACTCTTGTGGGAAGGGTGAGTCCCTGTCGGTGTAGATGCCCCTATTAGCTAAGTCGGGAAGACATCAGTCATTGGATGAGAGCTCACTACAAACAGCTTGGAACCCTACACCGAATTCTTCTCAAATAACCCACAACACGCCGGCCATGGTAGTGTGGGCCTATGATTCGAGCACTGGCAAGTGGAGACTGGGGGACCAGGGGTTCGAGGTCATCTTGGCTGCTCTTAGCCCTCCCTCAGAGTTCTGCAGGAATGCTTTGGTCTTTCCTGGCTGCCCTCTGCTGCACCCAAAGGCACTGAAGGCAGTGACATCATTCCAGGATGACATCATTCCTAACCATCCATGAACCCCACACATGGCCAGGGCCCTGCTCATCTTGACCACTGGGAACACATGTGATTAGGTGAATCTTGAAGCAGACGTAAACAAGGATATGTCTGGTTCTTATTAAACTGCAACATAATTACTGGAAGCCACTTTGGGGTATGCCTAGTACATGCTTCCAGGTGGGCGTTTTCCTGTCAGTTGCTAAAATGGTTTTATCATCTAGAACCAAGGAAAAGTTCAATGGGAAAAGGCATGAACTATCTATTCTAAAAACAAGGAACCGTAGTTTTGAGGCATCTCCAACAAAATGAACTTGTATCTAACAATTCTGCACAGTGCCTCTGGAATCTGACTCACTGATGTGGGGCTGTTTTTAAACACCTTACTGTACAGCAGAGCAGGACTCTGCGGTCCTCCGTGTTCACACCACCCAGCTCTTCCCGGTCTCCAGGGGTCGCTTTCACGCCCTTCCTCTGATGTTTTTAATACTAAACTGATGAAGTCTGCCTTGGGGTGTGGAGGTTCTTATGGCTTAGACAGGAAGCATCCAAAGCCTCCTGTGCTAAGGACTTGGCTCTCCAGCCCCGTTGAGAGGCTGTGGGTGCAAAAAAGCACTTGTTGCACTGATGGATTCACCATGGGCCTGTTATGAGCTGGGGCCTGGGTGAAGGACTCAGGTCACTGGGAATGTATCCTTGAAGCATATATGTTGTCTCAGGACTCTGCCCACCCCACCCCAGCCCATCCACATGTCTCTCGGCTTCCCAGCTGCCAGGGGGGTGAGCAGCTCTCCTCTCCATACTCCTCTGCTGTGGCGCTGGACCACAGGCCCAGAAACAACAGAGCCAAGGACACACACACTGAAACAATGAAGCAAAATAAACCTTCCCTACTGAAAATGCTTTGCCTCGGGTACTTGGCCACAGTAACAAAAAACTGATTAGTAGTTATGCGTTCTGGTAGTCCTCAGCTCATTTCTATGGAAACATGGTAGCCCCGTAGATAGCTTTGGCACCGGCTTGTCATCAAGATGGGGAGATGGGGAACTCAGAAGAGGTGACATCCCCACCTACAGGGTCTGTCCATGACTCTAAACAGATTTGCTTGGAAAAGGAATCTTGACGGAGGTTTGTCCAGACAGGCTGGCCTGTGAGCATGTCTGCGGAGGATCGTCTTGAAGTTGGCAGCGCCATTCCCTGAGCTTGGGTCCTGAATGGTCTAAGAGTTGAGCAGTGGGACGGACCCCCAGGTGCAGCACCAGGAGGCCAGAATATCCCATTACACAAGGCTTTCTAAATTGAAAAATGACCCAAGTCACAACGCAGATACAGAAGTGTTAGGAAAGGCTTTTCTAGCCTTTAAGTTTGAAAACTGAATCATGCCCTCAATCCCAAGTCAAAAAAATATATTCCACTTTAAATCTTACTCATAGAATAGCCCAAAAGAGACCCTTTCTTTCCAACTGTCAAGGATGAAAAATAGCACACCCCTGCCTCAGAACTGCAGGTGGATGCTTCTAGCAGAAACACAGCCCCGTTAGGGAGTGGGGATTTGAACTAAGGAAGCCTGAGTCCTTTTACTGTTTTGTGCTAGAAACAGGGCTCAGTGGGAGAGCAATTACCCAGCATGTGTAAGGTTCTGGATTTGACCCCCAACATCATAGAAAAGAAAGTTAACTTATTTTTTTTTGGGGGGGGGGGCGAGGCAGTTGTTATAGTTGTTACTTTGCTTTGTTTTGGGGTTTTTTTAAGACAGGGTTTCTCTGTGTAGCCCTGGCTGTCCTAAAACTTACTGTGTAGACCAGGCTGGCCTGGAACTCAGGGGTCCACCTGTCTCTGCCTCCCAAGTGCTGGAATTAAAGGTGGTGCACACCATGCCTGGCTAGAAAGTTAACTTGTAATCCTACCACTCGGGAGGTCAAGGCCAAAGAATAGGGAATTCAACGTCATCCTTGGCTATTACAGCATGTTTGGGGCCAGCCAGGGCTACATGAGACCCTGTCTCCAATTTAAGAGAAAAAAAAAAAAAGGAGAAGGAAAGAAAGGAAGAAAGAAAAGGAGGGAGGGAGGGAGGGAGGAAGCAGGCAAGTGGGGGGGGGGGTGGAGAGAAGGACAGACTCAGCCACGGCCTGCCATGGCTTCTGTGTCCAGCCACCCTTCCTACCATTTCCAGGGCGGCACCCCAGTCATTCCATCGGGCAGCTAAAATGGCCTCTGCATCTAAAATGGCCTCCAAAAAAAGGGCAGAAAAGTAGCATCTCTGAAGCACAGCCCCAAATGCTCTCTCTCACACGGAGCTTCGCTGAAGTCTCGTATCAGTAACAGGCAGCTGCCACCCAGAGAGGAGTGAGTGATACCATCCTGGAATACTACATGGCTGTGAGGGGAGCCCAGGCCCCTCCATAGCAAAGGCCAGGACATGTAAGTACCAACAGATGAAAGGCCGTGGGGGGCCCTAGAACTACACCCCTCTGCTCCACAGAAAAATGCCAATGCTGTAACTGCTTCTTTTCAGTCCCTCAAACAAATGTTTCTGGGATTCAGAAGTTCCTCCCAAATCGGTGCGCAGTGGAGGACCCATAGGACCTGGTTCATGCGGGTGCAGCGGTGTGCACAGCCTGGATCTCCCGAGGCAGTGGGGGGCCGGGAGGCTGACTGCAGCCACAGGGAGTGAGCAAGACAATAGAAGGGGAGAGACCATCTCTGTTCCTGATTCCTGGCAGCAGGCCCACAAGAGAGAGTCAGCCCACACCTGTGAGCAGGAGATGACCGGTCTGGCCGATTTCCATCCTGGACTAGAAATCAGCAGGGTCCCATCTGTCCACAGCTCTATCACAAAATAGCCATGGACGAGGGCAGGAACAGGACCACACTGCCCTCAGTTCAGTAAGCTACTGTCACCTCCAAGACCTGAGGTGAAGCTTAAGTAGGTCATGAGCCATAAAACGGGGATGTGAGGGTGGGGATTGGGAGGGATATGGGGAGAAATGGAGACAGAAATGGGGGGGGATAGATTATTTTCATAGTTCGCTGTATACGTGTATGGAATTCTCAAAAATAAAGAACAACTTTTTTAAAATGAAGTCATGAGCCAGAGGGCCAGCAGCAGAGGCAGAGCAGTGCCCCGCACCCTGCCCACGGCCTCACCTGACAATGGGCAGCTTGGTAAAGGGCACGGGAGGAAGCGTGAGGCCATCTGGAAGGGTGATGGGTTCCATCGTCCCGGGACACTTGGCTGTATAGTTCTCCAGGCTTTGAGTCACATCTTTCTTTTCTGAGGAGAAAACAAAACAGAATGCGGGTTCAGTCAACCAAGTAAAGGTGGGTGGTTTTTGGTTCAGTGTGATCCGGAGCAACGTGATCCAGGCCAGCCCAGAAGGGAGGCTTCCATCAGAAGTAAAGAACCCAGTGACAGTGACAGCTCCATTCCTTAAGATACACTAGCAGCTGCCACCCTGAAGGCCCTGCGGATATGGAGGGAACTGAGCTGTGACCTTCCGGGATGTGACCAGCACCAGAGAAATACGGCCAGATCAAGGGCCATAAAGCTGGCGGGCAGGACCAAAGCTCCTTGCATTTTTTAACAGTATTTCTCAGCAATTACTAAGCACCAAGCACCCACACAGGGACCCCCGTCCCCACAGAGCATCCACTGTGGTTTGTCCATTTGACAGACGTGGAAGCAAATAGCCACAAGCCAAGTCTCTGATGCTGCTAGTGAGCTTTGCAAGGTAAGCCTGTTTGCTGCAACCACTGCTGCATACACACGCGCGCGCGCGCACACACACACACACACACACACACACGCACACGCACACGCACATGCATGCACGCACGCACACGCATATCCCTTGTCACTGGGGAAGGAAAAGAGGACACAGGTGGTGGTGATGATGTTTGGACACTAGCCACAAAAGGCTCTCCAACAGAGCACAGATGGTCCCTTCCCAATGCTGCGTTATGAAAAGTCTGGCAAGAGGAGAAAGCAGCTTGTCAAAGGCCCTGCATTTGACCCAACACCCATGGTACAGCATTTTAAAGGCTTAAGAGAAGCAGGGCAGGGGACAAGGGAGCTCACGCCTTCTAGAAAGTTTTTTTCTTTTCAAAACACTAGAGGAAGTCAGTCACAAGGGATAGCCAAATGAGACCTGGGTTCAAGTCAAGAACTCGCCCTTCCCCGGGCACTGTGCGACTCGGTCAGGAAGCATGCCTCCTGCAGAGCCTAGCTGCCCTAAGGTAAAAGCAATGACTCCTTTTTCACAAAAGTGTGGGAGCTCCCTGGGGACAAGGTGACACACTCCAGGGCGACAGCCTGCCAACACCAGCACTGAGCACACCTTCAACATCAGTGTCTTGTTGCTGCACTTGGGGAAACACAAGACGACGACGGGCAGAGATTGTGCCACTCAGGCTGGGGACCATGAGTCCTAAAAGTCCAGGCAAGGACTCCCCCGTTGCTAGAACCCCATTTAGATGCTCTCTGTGGGAAGCAGACATGAGAAGGATCACTTTTGAACTTGTCCCCAAAGTGGAAAATGGCGCAGTGCTTAAGAGCGCTTGCTGATCTTCCAGAAAACCTGAGTTTAGTTCCCAGCATCCATGGCAGGTGGCTCACAACCACCTGTATCTCCAGCTCCAGAGGATCCAACGCCCTCTTTTGGACTCCAGTGATGCCCACATACATGTCATACATGTCAGAGAGAGAGAGAGAGAGAGAGAGAGAGAGAGAGAGAGAGAGAGAGAGAGGGTCAAAAGCAGAAATAAAAGTTTCAAAAAGTAAAAAGTTCTCCAAGTGATCCAATAACCTACAACTTACAGTCTTCCAGAGGGCTCAAGGACACCAAGCATGTCCCATGTTGGGAACGAAGCCTGGCTTAGGAGTCTCGGTACCAACTGGCCCTGTGCCACTCTGGGTAAACGCTACCCAAGTGGAGAAGGAAGAGTCTTTCTTTGATGCCGAAGACGGCCCAGCGCATGAGAGCACACATGCGCACTGTCAATGGCCCTTCGCCTGGTGAGCTACGTGTCACTCCGTGAGCCTTCCCATCAGCATTCCTGCTACTCGCTTCAGATCAGCATTTTCCTAGAGCGCCTTCCTATGGGGGACCCCCATATCCATGGCTGCCCCTGGCTACAGCAGAGCAGAGAGCTATCATTCAGGGTCTGGGGACATCCTGTCATATACGCTTCCCTTTTTAGCCACTGCTGTGCTGTGTCTCTGAGAACTCGTGTGGGAAATCATCCAAAAATACACCGATGTCAGAAACTGGGGCCTTTAGGGAGGAATCGGGTCTTAAGGACCTGGGGAAGGGAGCTGACCCTCTCAAGTTCCAAAGAGGAGCCAACAGGTGAGGCCTGACCATAGGTGCCCCATGAGACCACAACATGGAGAGGCAAGCTCAGAACCCTGGTGGCTCCTGGCATCTATCTGCCACATGAGCCAAGCTTCAGGAAATCATGATATATCCTAACCCTCTCATAGCCCATGATGGGGAGTGGAAGCTCATAATGCCTTAATTTACCTCACTCGAGAATCAATATCTCATTTTGTTTTGATCAGGAGTTTCAAAGGTGATGCCAGTCAAATGAAGAGCACCTAATGCCCTGGAGAGCTAATTTTTCCACCCCAGAAATTAAAGAAACCATACAGACAAAAGAGCATTTTTTTTTTTTTTTGGTTTTTCGAGACAGGGTTTCTCTGTGTAGCTTTGCGCCTTTCCTGGAACTCACTTGGTAGCCCAGGCTGGCCTCGAACTCACAAAGATCCGCCTGCCTCTGCCTCCCGAGTGCTGGGATTAAAGGCGTGCGCCACCACCGCCCGGCCAAAAGAGCATTTTTAATGAAAACTAGCTGCCACCTAATCATACCATTCCTCCTAAGAGGAGAGAATGTGATTGCCAAACTCCTGATGGTAAACAGGTCACGGGCCACTGATTGTTGCCACAGTTGACGCTGGTGTGAAGACCAGCGCATCACGATTTCACAGTTCATTCTTGTTCTTTCTAAGTAATAACCTGAGACAGCCGTGTCTGCCCTAGTCAGGTACGGAATCTAAGCAAGGCGAGGAAGAAAGATGGACACCTTTTTCCCAAGTCTGAGATGGGGGACCTAAGGAAAAAGAAACAGTACCGACCCGGCTGACACACCCTGAAATCCCACATTTGAGTCAAGTCCAGAGGAAGGTGGCGGGCGGGTGCTTCCACACCGTGACATGGTGAGGGTACAGAGCAAACCCCGCTGCATTGGCGATGGGCCTCCTGTTGGCACGGTACCACAGAAAACAACACGGTGCCTCTTGAAGAAACCACAGTCGCCTCCACGTGAGATCCTCGCCTGTGCAGACAACCCTCGAGGATGAAATCAGCACCTCGTCAGGGCACCCACCCCGATTTCACAGTGCTCAGGATATACAAACGACCTAAAGACACAGATGTAGAGAACGTGGTATGTATAAAAAGTACCCTGAGAAGGGTTTGGAGAGGTGCCACAGGACCAGAATTTAGATTCCTAGCATCCATGTGAGGTAGTTCACACCATCTGTAACTCCAAGTTCAGAGGATCCAATGCCCTCTTCGGGCCTGTACATGGGTACTGTACATATATGATATACACTCATACAGATGCAGATATAAATAAAAATAAAATCTTTAAAAAAAAAAACAGGAATGGCAGAGTACATCTGTACACCTATAATCCTGGCACTTGAGAGATGGAAATGGAAGGATCCCTGAGGTTTATCAGCCAACCAGTCAGGAGCTCCAGACTCAGTCAGACCTCCTAACCCCAAAATAAATACTGTGCAAAACAACATCAACCTCTAGTTTCTGAACATGACGCACACACACACACACACACACACACGTGTGTGTGTGTGTGTGTGTGTGTGTGTGTGTGTGTGTATCCATACATACACCGTACACACACCAAATAAGTAAGCAAATAAATGAATAATAAAACCACACTAGAATATTATTTGGCTTTAAAAAGGAATTCCTCCCATTTGCCAAAATATGGATGGCCATGGACACTGTGCTGAGTGAAGACAGACAAAGAAAACGCTCCATCATCGAAAAAGAAAAGAATGACTCAGTAGTTCTGCCTCAGGGGAGGGCAGATATGAAGGTCACAGGATGTAAAGACAAGCATAAAGAAGACAGAGTCTGGAGAGCCAGGGCGCCCATGAGGAGCAAATTTAAATGGTGTATTAGGGATTTTCATTAGGCATGTCTTAGCTGTTCTGTCTCAAGGAAAGTCAGTCCATAAACTGGCAGATATATTCATCTTCTGGAGTACCGTAACCATTTTACTGCCTAGGGCATCCCTTAGCACCTGTTCTAAGCCTCAGCTACATACAATAAAAAAAATAAAGGGGAAGTTTCCTAATTCCCCTATAGCTGGCAGTTTTAACACCCCTTTGTTAAAATAATTAAACTCAATAACATACACAAACATACACACCCACAAGACACAGACATCCACCTCCAGAGGAAAGAGAAGTGACATTCTTAAAATCCTCTTAACTGAATGGAAATAGAAACACTTTGGTGGTTTGCATGAGAATGGCCCCCATAGGCTCCTATGTTTGAACGCTTGGTTCCCATTCTTGGAACTGCTTAGGAAGAATGAGGAGGTGTGACCTTCTTGGAGTAGGTGTGGCTTCATTGGAAGAAGTGTGTTACTGGGGGTGGGTTTTTCAGGTTTCAAAGCCTATGCCACACCCAGTCTGTCTCTGTCTCTGTCTCTCTCTGTCT